TTGAGGCATCCTAATAAGTCTTCTCCACAGTCTGACCAATCTTTGGTATCGACTGGGCAGTTTGCTGGGGAGAGACAGTTCCGGAACAGGTATTAAGGGTTGGATGAGGTTCTGCAGGAATGGGGTTGCCAGAATGATCAGTTAAATTTGATAGTGCTATAGATTCAGTTTCTGATCTGACTGTTACAAGACGAGAGCGATGGCGTCTGGTATAGAAAGGGACTCTGCCTACTTGTTTTTGGAGGCATTGTTGAAAGAGAAGAGTGTTGCCTGAGTAAGGAGCTGTAGAAGTGATCACAAAAAATTGGTCCCATTTAGCTGGGCTAAACAGAATATTTAAGATTTCTGTAGGGTTGGTGGTGGTGGATGGTCGGGGGCGTGTGGAAGAGGGAGTATTACATAGTGATGGAGAATAAGGCTGTAAGTTAGTAATAAGGGAGGATGGGGTGCTTGATGAAGGTTGTGGGGGTAGAGTTGATGAATTTGAGGAAGTTGGGAGGGTAGGAATGTCTTCTGGAGACTGAGTCTCTGCTTGGGTGGATAATGCACTATTAGGCATTGAGGAGTGGGTAGTAGTTTCAGTGTTTGGAGTCGTGGTCAAAGGAGAGTCTGGGGTGGGGCTATTTGATAAAGGGGCAAGCCTCATTGCCCCTAATAAGGGGATTTCATCTTCATTACTGGTCATGGGGAACCTTGATTATATAAAGCGGCATAAACGGTCCACCCCCATGCTCTGAGAGGGTAAGGGCTATACAGTAAATCAGGAGTATCGTGTCCATGATTCCCGATTCTGTTCAGGACTGGCACAAGGTCAGCCTTTCTTCCTTTCAAGCACGGCTCTTACACCTTAGGAAGCAGATAGTAGAAGGGGTTGGAGAAGGGACGGAAACAAAAAGCTGGAGGGGGAAAAGACCATGCAAAATTAGTTGAGTCGAGGGCTGTATTGGGTCTCAGTCTTCTTCTCCTAAGCCCCCCACAACAACAACAGGCAAGGGATGGGGGGGAGGGGGGGGGAGGAGAGAGAGAGAGAGAGAGAGAGAGAGAGAGAGAGAGAGAGAGAGAGAGAGAGAGAGAGAGAGAGAGAGAGAGAGAGAGAGAGAGAGAGAGAGAGAGAGAGAGAGAGGGAGAGGGAGAGAGGGAGAGGGAGAGGGGAGAGAGAGAGAGAGAGAGAGAGAGAATACAGATAGAGGGGGGAGAGGGAGAGGGAGAGAGAAAGAGAGAGAGAAGATACTCATTTTTAAAATGTAATCAGGGAACCTGGAAGTCGTCTTGTGCATCAAGAGCATTAATAATACAAAAAAATAATAAATATGAACAATTCCCTATGTAAATAGTTTATTGAAAGAAATAATACAAATAGCATATGTACCATTATCACTGATTGTAAATCTATATTGTTACCTAGTTTTAGTTTCTTATAGAGGCCCTACTGATATATATCTAACTTTATTGAGAATTTCAAAGTTATTTGGGTTATAAAAGACATCAAATGCTGAAAATAATTTAATGTTTTACTAGTGTGAGCACTCTTTAAATTTCTACATGTAATTCTCCAATTCTAAACAAACAGAACAACCCTTTAAAGGAACGAGTATGCAGTATGAAAGACTTTAGTATTGTTGTATTAGAAATAAGCCAAACATACATTTATCAGTCAAAAGATAACCTTCTAGAAATGTGTACAACAAGCGCATGCAAGAGAGGGAGGAAGGAAGCAATTAAGCGCCCAGTGGCAGGGAGGAAATGGAGATGGCTGCTGAGACGCACGAGTGGTCCTCTCTGGGAGAGGTGATAAGGAGCTAGGCGAAGAGAGGACCGAGACCTGACTTCGCCGGGTTCGGTCGCGAGTATACGGATGATGAACTGGAGAAGGCGAAAAGTTCTGATGAGAGGGAGAGATCGACGGGGTGTGAGAAGAGAGAGGAGATTCAGTGGAAAAGAGTGAGAGACGGAAGGAGGAAGTGGGAGGGAGGAGGGAGAGAAGGCGAGGGTAGGCTAGGCGAGATCTCTCTCGTCGAGGGTACAGGAGGTCCTCTGCGATCGATCTGACTCATCTCTCGACTGACTGACTTTGACTCTTGAGAGAAGTAGTGGTACGACTCATCTTCAATCTCCGACTTGACTGACTTGCACGATGATGATCGAGCGTGACACAAACCCCGACAGAGGAGAGCACGGACCCGCACGACCCGCCACCGACGATCTCTCTCTTTTCTGTCCACACCGACGACCTGATCTCGTCTCTCTCTTCTCTCTTCTCTCTCTCTCTACGTCTCTCTCTCTTCTCTCTCTCACTCTCTTCTCCTCTCTCTAGTCTCTTCGATGCCTGCTCTCTCCCTTCGTCTCTCTGCGATCTGACTAACTGCTCTCCTCTTCCTCTCTCTCTCTCTCTCCCTCCTCCTCTCGCCCGTCTTCTCTCGTTCCTCTTACCTCTCTTTTCTCTCTCCTCTCTGATCTCATCTCTCACACGACTCTCCCCTCTCCCCTCCCTCTCCCCATCTCCCCTTCTCTCGATTCGACAGAGACCTGAGTTTTCCCGTGTGCAGACTCTTCCTCCCTTACTGACCGCGACCTGAGGCGAGAGAGGACGGTGGCCCAGCGCTCCTTGCCTGGCCTCCTTCCCTTACGCCCCCACCAGCAGAAGCCCCTCCCCTCCCTCCTGTCGCGCGAACCGACCTATGTGCGCTCCTCACTCTCATGACCTCTCCCTCCCTTGCGCGCGTCCCGCGTCGCTCGCCCCTCCCTTCCCTCTTCTGCATTCCTGCTCGTCCCTCTCCAGCTCCGCCTCAGGCCGTCCTCACTCCCTCCGCTCCCTCCACTCCCTCCTCCCTCTCTCTCGCTCCCACGCCGCTCCTCTTTCCCTTTGTGTATACTCTGCTTATCGAGAAGGCCCGCGATGAAAAAAATGTATTGCGCATTTCGGTCCTCGCATTAGTCGCGGAGAGGTCTGAAAAATACAACTTCTTGATTGAAGCGGCGTGATAATCAACACGGTGACTTGCGAGGACGTTCCTGGTCATGGCAAGATGGCGGAGGGCTGTGGGCTTACTCCGTCAGAATTTGCGCGACAATTCAGGGATTATTGTTGAAAAGATGTTGGTTTAGCATGTGCCCGAGCATTTGTGGTGTGTTTGTGTGCTGCTTTGAGCTTATTGGCAATCATCGTCCTTCCTACTTCATTTTCTTATCCGATCCGAGCACGGTATTTGCGCGACAGGGGGCCGGTGAGAATCATCCGAAGTGAAATGGAGCGGGGGATGCGAACGGAGGAAGATAGATGGTGAGGTCAGACGACGAAGGCGAGCCGAGGGTGGACGAGAGGTAGAGAGGTCGGGGAGGCCTGAGGGAAGGGCGAGACCCTTGAACCGCCTCCGCCAGGGAGGAGGGCCGAGGGAGTGGAACGACGAGAGGGATCAACAACCCGCAAGATGACAGGAGAGACGAGAGCGAGAGACGTAGAGGAGAGGATAGACATGACAGAGAGGAGGAGACCATCCGGAGAGAACGGCCGTCGAGTGAGAGAAGCGAGAAAAGAACGAGAGAAAAGAGACGAGACGACGGAGCGAGACGGAGAGAGAGGGAGGGGTGATAGACGAGGGCCGAGGGATCGGAGGAGGGAGGGAAGGGAGGAGGGAGGGAGGAGGAGAGAGAGAGAGGGAAGAGAGAGAGGGAGAGAAGAGAGGAGAGGAAGAGAGAGAGAGGAAGAGAGAAGAGAGAGAGAGAGAGAGAGAGAGAGAGAGAGAGAGAGAGAGAGAGAGAGAGAGAGAGAGAGAGAGAGAGAGAGAGGAGAGAGAGAGAGAGAGAGAGAGAGAGAGAGAGAGAAGAGAGAGAAGAGAGAGAGAGAGAGGGAGAGAGAGAGAGAGAGAGAGAGAGAGAGAGAGAGAGACAGGGAGAGAGAGAGAGAGAGAGAGAGAGAGAGAGAGAGAGAGAGAGAGAGAGAGACTTTGCATGCTTAACTAAAAACTTGGTATGTCCACTAAAATTTGGATGGCTGTAGAATAAAAAAAATAATAGAAGTTTTGTCCTGCTTCTAGAATGTCCAACATGAACAATGTTAAGGTGCAGTCACACTAGCACTTTTTCCAAAAAAAATTTACATTTTTCTGAAATTTTGTTCATTTTTGGGTGAATTTTTTATTCTTCAGTCAGACGATAATGATAATTTCCATCTGAAAACCTTTCCGTCATCTTTTTCAGCTAAGCAAAGTCAAATCAAGAGCTATATTCGAGAATGTTTGTATTTATGTTAAATAAAATTGTCAAAAAATTGACGAAAAAAGTGCTAGTGTGACACGGCCTTTACTGTTTACAGTCACTGTTTACAGAGTCAAGTACTTAAGTATACAAAAGAAAGTAACATCGTAAGATATTCACCGATGTGGTTGAGACTCAAGACACTTCACAATACATCTTAAACCGATCTAACTTCCTTGAAAAAAACACATAATGCTGTTAGATAAATACCACTGATACCCACAGAAGGGGAGGGAAAGGGATAAAAAGAGAGAAAAGGGAGAAAGAGGAACAACTGGAAAGGAGAGGAACAGGGGAGGGGAAGGGAAGGGAAGGGAAGGGAAGGGAAGGGAAGGGAAGGAAGAAAAGAAGAAGAAGGAAGGGAAGGAAGGGAAGGGAAGGGAAGGGAAGGGAAGGGAAGGAAAGGGAAGGGAGGAAGGGGAGGGGAGGGGGAGGGGAGGGAGGGAGGGAGGAGGGAGGGGAGGGAAGGGAGGAAGGGAAGAAGGAAGGGAAGGGAAGGGGAAGGGAAGGGAAGGGAAGGAAGGGAAGGGAAGGGAAGGGAAGGAAGGAGGGAGGGGGAAGGAAGGTGAAGGGAAGGGAAGTGAAGGGATGGGAATGGAAGGGAAGGGAGGCAGGAGGGATGGAGGCAGGGAGGGGGAGAGAGAGAGTGTGTATTTATATCTATTTCATATGGACACATACAAACACTGATCCACACAAATGTGCTTAGATCTCACAACTGGAAATGTGAGCTCCATTGCAACAGGTATTTTTTTATCTTGTCATTTCACTACCTCAGACTTACTTTCAAAGCATCAATAAATTTCAAAATAATGGAACAGCATGAGACATTTGCATACATTAACTATACAGCTTCAAAGAATAAAATATATTCTCAGCTTCAGACATTATACCTGAATATAACTCCTTTCTCTAATGCTTCTTACAATGTACACATTTCCGAAGGTATCACAACATAAAAGAAAAATCAACCAAATGCTTGTGAATCCTATTATTTGTTCAGAAAGAAAAAACAACAAAATTTATAAAAATAAACAGTTGTAATCTAGCAAATAATTTTGCTTTCATGTCCATAAGAAAAAGAAAACTAAAACTATACTCTACAACATAGCACAATAAATTAATTTTGTAAAAGGAGTTACAAAATCAGCATCTGTATGAATGTCAAATACAGACTATAAAACTAAAGTTACATTTTAATAACTAGACTGAACAATCCAACTCAATCCTCATTCCCTTACAGAGATATATGAAGCAATAAGCTTGAGTAGGTGAAACCACAAATGTCAAGACAGGAATTACAAAAAATATGTTTTTTTTAAGATACAAAACTGGCATATAAGTAAATATAATCATCATATACATAACAATTCAACAACAAAGATTTTCAATAATCTAATAAAAGTTGTAAGATAATATCTATTCCCCTTTTTAATTCTTGCCAAATAAATTTAAAACTATGTCCTAATCACTCAGGTACATTAACCACAATATCAATATATTACTACAAAAGCCAATGGCTTTCAAATGATATCAGCATTTGCATATTCATTGAACAGTGATCTTCACTTCTATTTCCTTTTTACATAGAGGTTGGGGCCCAGAAATTCATTTCCCTTAATTTTGAGGCTTTGGGTCTCTGTCTCTTTTTACCAATTGCCATTTGAGAGGTGTCAATATTCAGTGCCTGAGCAGCTCCATCTTCAAGCTTTTGGGCTCCTTGTAATGCCGATGCAGACAAGGAAACAGTATTGGCCTCAGGTGAGAGTGTTGAGCCTGTGTCTTGTGCTCCTGAAAATGGTCTGGTGAAAAAGTAATTCTGAGTGGCAGACATGTTGCTCTGGTCTACAATGACTCCCGATATCTTTCTCTTGGAGCGGGGTGAAGACTGGGGAGTTGTCAGCGGAGTGACAAAAGGAGTTGAAACTCCAGATGAAACTGGTTGTGAAGCTCCAGAAAAGTCCTGGATCTTTTCAGCCAAGGACAACTTCAGGTTAGCTTCACGGGAAATTTTCCGAGTTATTGAAAGGTCCTTTTCTGGTTTCTCTGAACCAACTTGAGAATTCTGACCATTTTGATCTCTTAATGATCTTGAAGACTCTCCCACAGTAATATTTGTTAGGGTATCTTGAATCTCATCTATCAAATTTGTGTCATCAGCCTGGGAGTCCTTTGGGGATGAAGTTGGTTCCAATGTCTCTGAAATGCTATCAGAGTTCGCACTTGTGCTGTCACTTGTGGCAGCAGTGCAGTCTGCTGAAAGATGCAGTTTAGACATGAATACAATATGGCGTGATAAGAATTATAAACATAAAATATCATCACTAGCTTATTAGATACAAAATCATTATTAGATACATTATTAGATACATGACCAATAGGTTTTAGAGTATTCAAAATGAGAACATTGTACTACTTAAGGATTATATACAAGAAAAAAAAAAAAATGAAGCTGACTTTTTATTATTAGTTTATATCAGGACTGCTATTTCTGAATTAGAATACACCATAATTTTCAGCTCTAGCAAAGCTGTAGGGATTTGCCTGAAAGCTTTTCTAATGAGATCCTATTTCCTTCGCTATAAGAATTGTTGAAAGTTCTTTATATAAATGAGTTACAACATGTATGAGAACTAACATCTCGCTCAGAAGCCTGTCCTAAATAAGTGAAATGAAAATACCTCCTTTGAAATGGAACAGTGCCACAATAAGAATGGAACATCAGAAGAATAAAACTTTTCATCACTTTAACTTCAAACTTCACATTCCAGAACTCCTTTCTTAATATGGCTACTTTATTCTATGTTTGTAAACATGATACTGTGCTTGTATTTTTATTCACTGTAATGTATACAGAAAACAAATATCAAAAAATTAAATTTAACAGGATAATAATTTTGAAAGTAACGTCATTTTTACCTTCCTCCTGATTCTAACCTGGCTTGATTTCATTTTACTCCCAACCATACTAAAATTTCCTTAGAATATTGAGAACCTCAGGGACAATTGAAAGATATGGAAAGGAACTCTTTTTTATTGAATTTAAGATCAGCTTCCATTCCCCAGAAAAAATACTACTGTTATAAAGTATAAACATATGTGCATGAGATATTTCACTGCTAAAAATAATGAGAATTTTGAAACACCTAGTGATAGTACCCAACTGTAGGGAATGTACTGTAAGACACTACCAAACTGTCTGAAGAGCTCCTGTTGCTATATAAACACAAAGTAGATTGGGAAGTTCTTATCAAGAATATCAATTGTATTAATTTTCCACAGGATCACATTGGTTACAATAAACATCTAAGCAATTCTAAAGGGGGTGTATTCATACCATTTCCTCCTTGTGCATCTGGGGCACAAATAGGATTAGTATTAGGAATGGGCAAGGCACTCACCTCCAAACTTAAAAGGTAGAACCAGGAGAGGCTTGACGATTTGCTCCCTGTCCCCAGGGGAGGTGGGTGATCCTTCTTGAGAGCCCTGCACAGAAAGCCCTTGGGGACTGATGGACAAGGTGGTCGTTGGGCTGGTCAAGCTGTCGCTCTTTCCCCCACTGCTGAACACAGGGTCACCATCTTTGACCTGAATTGGTACATGTCTCCATAAAGCTATTGCAAAACCAGGGGGGATAATGTTAATAAATATTATTTTTTTTTTAAACAAACAATAAAGAAAAAAAAAAAAAAAAAACTAATGTATCAAGCAACATCATTGCTTTCCATCTACAGAATTGGAAGGATAGAAAAAGGATGAGTTCTACAACCAAAGTGATTCAGATATCAAGAACACAATACAAACTATCAGTAGAATAGACTACAAGCATAGTTAGTATGCAGAATACTACTCTAATAGGTGTAATGGCCTTAGAAATCATTACAAAAGTTCTGCTTTAAGGCACAAGCAATTAAGGAAAACAAAAGGTTATACTGACAGTGAGATGAAGTAGAAAAAGAAGAGCATAACATTCCTTTAACATGATAACTTTCTGATTGTTTTACACACTTACTAACAGAACAATTATCACTTAACTTAATAGAACTTACTAACAGAACAAATCTGCTCCTCATTCTCAACACTTTGGTTATAATATCAACAGCTGAATTTTTACATGTCACAAATATACTTTCCACCAACTTCTTTTTTTGGAGCAATTCATATACTATGTAACAACAACACAGTTAACCACACATTGCAGGGAAAATGTGTTCACTGTCGTATTTTGTGAAATGTCTCTGCACATAGATGTTCCACAATGCTCAGTCACAAGAGTCAATTAGTAGACCTTCTGACCTCACCTGACTTCAAGTTTCCTCGAGTTTGCAGATTTTTTTTTTTTTTTTTTTTTTTTTTAATGCTATCAATACCAATGTTGCTGTTACTAGGATAGACATTATAACCATCATAATGTTATTGATATTACTAACAGCAATATACAAGATACCAGAAAATATTTCCAAAAATCAGAGAAAAGAGTAAAAATGTGAGATAGGTAGTATTTGTAATTGGCTCATTAGTGAGGTGGTACTTGTTAAGCTATCTATGTGTAAAGCCAATTAATAATCTAAACTCACAATAGGCATGGCATGTACCTACATGCCCAGAGGCAACAGGTTAATAAATATCTGGTTACCTGCCCATATAGTATCTTGTGCAAAGTTCACATTTCATATTGCTGATCATCTTTTTCTTTTATTCATCTATATCTTTGTATGAAGCATTAACCTAATGGCACTGGCAACAGGTTCAGTGATCTGTCATTTTACTTTGTCAACTTTGTTTACAAAGAGCTGGCTTCTTAGTCACCAAGGAGTCAACTACTAGGCATACCTGACCTCACTAGTTTACCCCATTACTTATATTTTAAGGGAAAAAAGTTGTATCTCTTAATATAATCATCATAATGAAAATCATGATCACATATGACATTAGCATCATTATATATTACAAACAATAATAAAAATGAAAACTTTCCTCTCTGAACATTAAAGTACAAGGAGAGATCAGGCAAGCCTAGTATGTGTGTCATTCCTGACTATAAACTTGTGAAGCACTCTCCATGTAAAATCACAGTGGACATGGTATATCCTATCATCAATGGGTTAAGAGAATACTTAATATTAGAAAAAAATTATCAAGAAAATTGCCAATTTTTGTCCTTTGAAAGCAAACAAACAAAAAGCAAAAAGCAAAAACACAGAAAAAAAGTGGGGAAAAAATTACACTAAAAAAGTAGATGCATTCTGCTATATCATAAGAGCACAAATGATCACCTTAAAAATTGCTCATACATATACACACAAAAACATATAATGACAATGGTTATACAAACGACTACAATTTCTATAACTCCTTTGAAAAGTAACAACTGAAACAGGGCATCACACTGAATACACATACAAAATAGCATTCAACTATTCACTGTTGTCATAAGGAAGAAACACACCTCGACTGTCATGCCCAGCTCCTGGTTGATACGGTCATAGGTGGAGGGACGGGGGCTTGGAGCTCGACCATAACGCAGGTGAAAGAATCCCCCATCCTCATTGGACGGGGGAGACACTATGAAGTCATCAACTTCATACCTGTTGTGAGCCAAACCACACTGATGTAGAATTTTCAATGATTTTTTTTCCCCCTCACATTTTGTAATGTCATTAACCCAATATACATTCCTTACTACTGTATGATATTAATATGTTCTGTAGTTTTTTACCCTACTTGTACAGCTACACAGAAAATATCACCAGAAAACCATGCTAAACATTCTGACACAACCAAAGATATTTTTTTTAATATAGTTGTTAATGCTATGAAACTGTTGATATCCCTGACTTTCCAACTACTTTAGGGTATGTGTGGCTTATCTGAATATTGCACAGCATATTCTGTCCATTAAGAAAATAAAATCATCATCTCAGTGATTCCACATGAATACTGGAACAACTATTCGAGGCATGAATTAAAGCAGACAAATTCATTACCCAAAACACCAATCCTTTTGAAACCATGAGGTTCTGTTCATTATTGAATGACAAATAGTTTTTTCTCTAGTTGTATATTCTACACACAAATATTACAATTGTTTAATGATCTCT